GACTTAGTCTCATTCTACTGTGATTATTATGCCTCATTTTTTGACATTATTTTGCAAAATTATGTCTTGGCCTTCATCACTATTTTTTTGTCATCGACTTACACAATTACGAATTATATTCTTGTATGCATAATCAGATTTGCTACTTGAATATGTGTATATTTTTATTTCTTTTTACTATATATTTTATTTTGTGAAGTGTATCATTTAAATGTTCAAAATAATACCCCGTATTTTTTGTCCAAATTTTTGTAACAAATACTGTATTATACACGTATACTTATTTACACATTTTTTAAAAATCAACGTCTTCTTAACAATTTTTTGACCGTATTTTTTATTAATATTACTGAATAAAATGTGTACGTATTATATCTCGTTTAATTCTCGTACCGTATTAAACTAACTATGAGCCGAACATGACTTCATTTGTCTTACCAAAGTTTATTTCCCTAATTGCAAACGCAAATTTAAGAACCTTAGCATGGTAAACCAATTCTGCGGAGAAGGAAGTTCCGTTCAAGATTCTGGTTATGTTCCGGCCTTCATTCAATTAGTCAATGGGAAACTTCTCAAAATAAAATTAAAAATGTTTGAGAATTCCAAAATAGAACTGTAATGTTTGATTGATTAAGTATGAGTAAATAATGTTAAGTTCGGAAAATAAGTATGAAAGTATTCTAGAGCACACAGCTAATTAATTTGTCTAAATCATGCATCTCTTTTAGCATGAATGTTGGGCAAGCTATCTCACTATTTCGGGTCACTGGGTCAGCAATCTTGGTGGGCAGAGGAAAGAAAGACATTCTAATTAACTGCGCTATTACAATAGTAAAACTGAATCAAGGTTCTTGGAGAAGAAAGCTTGAAGGAGATGATCTGTAGATTAGGTTGAATGAATGTAGAAGAGAATGAATAAACCCGTAACTGAACTACAATACATATTCTATATTTATACAATAGGATAGCATTACTAATATGCTTATAATAAGGCCCAACAACATATGGCCCAATAACTAATAAGATACTAAGAAGGATGACACCCCATCCCTGAGGGTCCCCCAACGCCCACCGAACGGCACGATGAGAGGATGTAAATTGGACTATAATCACAATCTGACAGATAGAGAGTGTGGCTCCGTCCGCGGCACTTGCAGAGGCCATATGCATTTTTAGTATAGTAACCTCTCATCGCAGTTGCCAGGATTCGAACCCGGGACCTAACTCTTGTGGCACTCCCTTACTACCAGTTGAGCTACGCCCACTGATATTAAGCTAATAAGCTAATTTCACTAATAAGCTACTAAGGAATCAGCCCAGCATTATTCTTGATATGCGCAATCGTACTTTAAATCATATAATGAGTTGGAATAATTGATTCTTGTCAAGAGAAGGGTCGAAGTCTTACAAAAAGAGTGATTCAAGTGTGTCCAATTATGCTATGAATGTAAATAATGAATAATTACTTGTGAAAAGGCACAAACCTGGCTGAGAAAGGTATTTTGTGGAGAGATTGGGGTGGCTTATGTAAACTGAAATGTGAAAGTGGCTCGATTTTTTTAGAGTTGCTATTAGAGATTGATTGTATTTTAATTTACTCATCGAGAAGCAACAAGAAGCAAGTTACAGAATTCCATGATTTCGATTGGAGAGATAGAAGTAGATGACAATGAATGTGACATAGGTGGGTGAAGGTGATCATTTACGTATGGGTAAATGAAAGGAGGGGTATCCAATCTTGGGGTTTCATAGATAGAACACGGAAAAGGCATTTCTTGGAGGGAAACATAAAGCCATACGAACGAGATGGACTCCATAAGAAACTAATGCTTTGGGACTTCGAGCGATGATGGATGGGGCTACAAGTTGAGGTGGATATAATGCTCTTTTCATGGTTCAAGGAATTAGGAAATATAAGGAGGGACGTCCAGTGTCCTACATTGACCTCTTGATGGATGACATTGAACATTTGATATTTAGTTCAAAAAATTAAAAAATCATTTTTGAAAGCATACCATGATTCGTGTGGCTCAGACTTTAGCTAAGCTAGGTGATGTGTGCATTTTGGCAAAGTAGTTTTTTTTGAAAGGGAAAACTGGCATATTTTATTAAATCAAACTCGAAGTGTGAAACTGAGAGACAATACAAGCTGAAGAATTGCAAAAAATAAAGTAACCATCTAACACTAACCTCCCTCTAACCAAACATAACCATAAGCCCACTAAAAAAAGCCCACTATTCCCCTCACGACTCCATCTAACGCTGTAGTCCACCCTAAAAAGGGCGAGACTATTCACTAAAAATGTAAAAGCTTTGAGGCTATTAGCGGTTGAATCATCCCGATTGCCTCTCAACAGAAAACTAGAAACTAAGGTAAGCCAAACTAAGAACTTACCACCCTTATTATTTTACCTAATAAAAACAAAATATAGATTAACAAACAATTCATAGTAAAAATAAATAAACTTCAGCTGATGGAACAACATGATACATCCTTCAAACGTCGTCTTCCAGACCCTAGTCACGCAGTTGCGCTGTGGCGGCGGTTCAGGAGGAGGACGAATCATCCACATACATCTTCTTTCTCCACCACCTGAGACGGCAAACACAAATGTGCCGATCCTCCAACCACCCGATTGGAGCCCAAATCCGCCCTTTCCACCGGACCCCAAACCGTCATTGTTCCACCCGGATCAAAACAGCTGGAGCAACTTCAATCTCAATCACCACCAAAGCCAAAATAGCCAAATCAAGCATCGGACTATTAGGCCTCACAATCCTAGCCGACAGAGGTCCACGGCCACCTCCGAAACCACTGACGACTCCCATGACTTCTTGCGATCGAAGAAACCGCGTCACTAGGCTCCTCCTCGATGTGCATGTTGCTACTTGATGCTGGCCAGGCCTCCACTACTTGACACACCCCGTCCAAATTCACATTTGAACCTACTGGACCATCGGAACAGAGCTGCCGTAGAGAACCCACCGCCACCGTCTGCCAAAACTTTTCTAGACACCACTAGGACTTCCGCTTTAGATCTTTAAGAGAAGGAAATCGCCGAGCACGGCCTCAAGACATCCACGATCTTGTTAATCCGGAGGAAGAAGGAGCCCATCCACCACCCTCCGTTGGGTAGATCTGATCGCCGCAACCTAGGGTTCTAGTGCTCTTGTCCTTCGTGATTAACTGATTATTGAACTTTGATTTCGGGCAAAGTAGTTGAAAAATTTATATTTAAAATATATTTTAATTATTCAATAAAGAAAAATAATTTTCATTTATTATATTTAAAAATAATAAAAGGAAGCATTGGACACAAAATAGTTTTTTTTTTCATTTTTTATTTTCAACCTCCAAAATCAATATATTTATATTTTCAATATTTGCAAATATATATATTTTTATTTATTTAAGGTAAATTTGCTCCTAGGTATTCATTTATCTGTAATTGGAGCTAAAAGTCAAGAATATATTTGCACATTCTCCCAACCAACTCAACCTTATTTATTTTAGTTATTATTTAATTTATAAAGTAGAATGAAAAATATTAAAAAAGTTCGTTTCTCATCAACCAAACAATTATGAGAGAATTTCTCATATAGGAGCAAAACATATAGAAAGTGAAAAATAGGAGTGAGTATGTAACATTCCCTAAATAAGAGTATTTTTTTTAAATGGACAAGGATGCCCCTGCCATTGCTGCTGCCTGCTGCTACAGTACCGCTGGCCGCCGGAGTTCGCCGGACTACCGCCGCTGCCGGCCGCCGTCAGAGCTCCGGCGAGGTAAAAAATCCAGATTTATTCCCCATTCTTCCTGCCACCTTCACAGTCGCCGGAGTTCCGCCGGCAGCCGCCGTCTACCACCGCCACCACCGGACTGCTCTGGTTGCCCCAGGGAACTAGGGGATCAATAATCAATTAGAATAGGGGTATTAGGGGTAAAAAATTAATGTTTACTTCTATTTGGGGATGATTAAGAGTTAACTCCTATTTAGGGAAATGCGTTATGTTTTACTCCTATAATCCTATTGGGAGCAATTACTTAATAATTACATACAATTGTGTGTAAGTGTACGATAAAAAAATGTGTGTCAGTGTGTATCAATTTGGTGTAGAAATTGATTTTTTCTTGGGGGATTTATTAAAATAGGAGTAAATAATTCTTTAATTGCCAAAATAGGATTTAAAGTTAAAAATTCCCTAAATAGGAGTTATTATATGTAGTTAGACAAAAACACCCCTGAATCTGGTAAAACACACTGTCGCTGACAGAACTCGGACCGTCGCCGGATCGCCACGGACCGCCGCCAGACTGCCGCCGGTTGCCGCCCACCTCCGGCGCTTGCTATTGCTTGCCGTCGCCAGCGCTTGGTATTGCTTGCAGTCGCCGTTGCTCATGGCTCCTTTGCGGCTCGATCGATTCTGTTCTCATTTGCAAACTCCCGTTGCAGACTTCAAAAAGAAAGAGAGAATGGCGCATGGGTAAAAGTGGTGTAAAAGTCCTATTTAGGGAATAAAAGTATTCACACTCCTATTTTGAAATTTAAGCAATAATTTAGTCCTATCGAGGACAAAAAAACCCTTTTTTCTTCTCAAATATCTTCTTCAACAATCCTCAGCCCTCTTTTTTTGAAGTTGTCTAGCAGGTTTGAAGTTTGAACTAAAAAAACCCATATAAATCTAGAGCCCGTTTGGTAGCATCAAAATCGGTTATTTTGACTGATTCTGCTGAAATTTATGAAGTTCTGGCTGAAGTGGCTGCATTTGCTGATTTTGCTGATATAAGAAAAAAATTATTTTAAAAATATAATTTATTAATAAAATAAAGAAAAAGTTATATGTAAAAATAGCTAAAGTAGTCGTCTACAGTAATTTCAGCCAATACAGCCAGAAAAGTAACTTCAACCTTACTTTTTCTGCTTATTACACAATTCAGCGTGCGCAAGCAAAAATTACGTGTTTGGTGAAAAAGTTGGTTGATAAGTCTCATAAACCGAAAATCAGCGTTGCCAAACGGCGTCGTCTATAAACATATGTAGGTACAACTACCACACCAACAAGACAAGCACACATTGGCAGAAGAAGAATGAGCTTGGCATCCAAGACCGTTTGCGTTACAGGAGCTTCAGGCTACATAGCCTCATGGATAGTCAAACTCTTGCTCCAGCGTGGCTACACGGTCAAAGCCACCGTCCGTTTTCCTGGTTTGCTCCCTCTCTCGATCTCCGGCCACTTCTATGTCATCTTTACATTACCATATTACTTTCAATTCATCTGACTCTGCTCCTTTCATTCGTTTCGGGTTTTCTGTTTCTTAATTGTATCCTCTCCATCCGAATTTGATAGCAGTAGCGAGTTCTGATTTTATTATGATATCGTAATATTTATTATTAATTGTTCCGATTTAAAGAAGGCATCCCCAGAATTGAATTTCAAGGTATGAATTGTGATTGATTTCATGGATTTATGACATTCCATAAAATGCATAACTAATGCAGGACTCTGTAAAATTCTTTACCATTAATTTTCATAGATTTTCAATAACATTATTTTGATCAAAAGAATTTAGTCTCTGAAATGTTCTCCCTTTTTATTTACTCCGCATTTTATTATCAAATCTATGAAAAAACTAATCTTGTTTACAAATAACAATAAACACATAATTTGATTTCAAATTTTGTTCAGTTTATTTTTTTGATGATGTTCTTCGGAAATCTTAGTTATAAAAACTTGTTTTACAAGGAAATAAGTGGACTTTTTTCATTTTCGATTTTACTCCCTAAAAGTTTGAAATATTTATTATGAATCTTATTAATGTCATATTGTATGATCACTCATCTCGTTCACTGCCTTTTGTTTAATAAAGATTGATTATAAATTGATATTTGGATTAGTTTTTAGCTGTGAACAGAAACTAGAGTTATAGGCTTATAGCAAGATATAGTATTATAGTTTGCATTATTATTTGGATTTCAAAAATTTAAAAATCATGAGAATTCTAGGCTAGACCGGAATTGGGTTGGAGTGATGTATGTGTTATAGTAAAAATTCATAGTACTCTACCGAATTTTTCTGTTTAATGGGACCCAGATGAGCTGTAAAATGTTTAGTACATTAGAACTATACAGAATAACAGGATCCATGTAACTCCAAATTTAGGACAACTAAGTTTGTTGAACATACAAACTTCTAAATTGAAAAGGAAAAGGAAAAAAGAACTGAAATTGTATGAATATAGTGTAATTTTTGGTTCTGTCTTATTGAGAATACAGTCATTAGTCGATTACAACTAATTTCAATACATTTGCATCTGCTTTGTTGATTAATAACCAATTAACAATAAGGAGTAGAAATGGGAAAATTCTAGAAGAATGTTGAACTTCTAAATTCTGATGCAGATGACCCAAAGAGGACTGAACACTTACTTTCCCTTGATGGAGCTAAGGAGAGACTTCACCTATTCAAGGCAGATCTATTGAAAGAAGGCTCATTTGATTCTGTGGTTGATGGGTGTGAAGGTGTATTTCATACCGCCTCTCCCTTTTACCACAATGTCAAGGACCCACAGGTGCATTTCATGTGTAATTACTAGTTATGTTTTAAGAAGTAGGCCTTTAGGGAAATAGCGTGTCCAACTGTCCACCTATCTTTTTAATGCTCAAATAATTCGTTAGAGAGTGTTTGTTACGTTACATGGATGTTGAAGCACTTTCCACAGTTCACATTCCATCATAAGTCATAACAAATACGGCTTTGCTGTTCAACTTCCCTGGGAGGATCACCCGCCTCTTAGCTTTTGTGCTGCGGGATTATTTGGGCCAAAGGTCCCTGACATCCGCCTTGTAAAAAAGAACACGTCATTGGTTTGGGTGGAAATGGCTATTATGATGTTAAACATCCCCTATTTTCCATTACATTCCATGAAAAGTGAATGGAAAGGGCAAGTGCGAGAAAGTGCAGTCCCATGGAATTAGAGTCGATTTCACTTTGATATCCTTGCAGGGAAAGTATCAAACACCGTAAAAAAGTCATGCTTATTAGACCATTTAAGCGCACCAAATGGATGCAAAGCATATACAGTTGTATAGTCACTGTAGCAGATTTGTGCCTCAAAATTGCCACTAAGCCCCTATATTATTGTGTTCACAGGCAGAGTTGATTGATCCAGCAGTAAATGGGACACTCAATGTTCTTGGGTCATGTGCAAAAACACCATCTATACAGAGAGTGGTTTTGACCTCTTCTATTGCTGCAGTTTCTTACAATGGCAAACCACGAACTCCTGAAGTGGTTGTTGATGAGACTTGGTGGTCAAGTCCCGACTATTGCAAAGAAATGGAGGTAAATCAATTATCTTCTAAAACACCCTGATAATTAAGATTTATTCTAGTGGTTCACTAAACTGTGTTTGGTAAAGGGGTAATTTGAGTTTGCACCCCATATTATTGTCTAAATTGGAGTTTGCACCCTGTTTTTAAAAATCTTTGTTTTTGCACCCCAACCCCATATGAAAAGACAAAAATGCCCCTCCATTAACAATTCTATTGACCTTCAACATATTCCTGATTGAGGTCATTTTTGTCTTTTCATATGGGGTTGGGGTGCAAAAACAAAGATTTTTAAAAACGGGGTGCAAAGTCCAATTTAGACAATAATATGAGGTGCAAACTCAAATTACCCCTTTGGTAAACTATTCATTTGCTTAACAGTATTGTTAGACAGATCAACTATTAAACAGTAACTCATTCAAAATCAATATCTTAATTGGTTCATAATCCTTTTCTGAAATCAGTACTCTAGTCATTTTATAGCAGTAATGACTGAAACAAAGACAAATGATACCTGTACCATACTACCATAATCTTTTATGTATTATTAGTTTCTGTAAGATATAAAAAGTAAATTTAGCTAGTTCAGTCGTATTGGTCCAACTCAACTATTTCAGTCACAACATCAGCAAAATTAGTTTATTCAGCCTGATTCACTCCCACCAAACAAACTCTTATCTTGACTTCTTTTTCTCTTTCATCATTATCCATGTTTTGAACCCTTCGTTCGTCCTTTTTCTTTTAAACCTACGGAAACAATTCAAACGTAGTCTGATAACATATTTGCTTGTACCCTGACCGTTCTTTTCCCACTTTTAATATTTACTTTTGTTACCAGATGTGGTATGTTCTTTCAAAAACATTGGCTGAGGAAGCTGCTTGGAAATTTGTGAAGGAGAAGGGTATTCATATGGTTACAATAAACCCAGCAATGGTTATTGGTCCTCTCTTACAGCCCACACTGAATACAAGCTCTGCTGCAATCTTGGAATTGATAAATGGTACGTAGTTTATGTTCTGATCTTACTGTATACAGTCTGCCTGTGTATCTTTATTCTTTCTTATTTTCATCTTGGATCTTGGAAACAGTATCAGTGTAGTTCCCTAAAATAAAAAATTGATGGGCAAATATGTCAAACACATAAGTTGTGAAGTGTTGTTGACTCAGCTTTAAAGAATTTAGTTGGATATTAGTGATGATCTCGCATTAAACCTGTCAATATCAGAATCATTATAGGTTCATTTGGAGCCTGGAAATGCCTGGGGGAGAAAATATGGAGAAAAATAGAGAGGAGATTTATATGGAAAGAATATATACTTTTGATAAAATAAAATAAAAATTGTTTAAACTCAATCAATCCATTAGGGATGTTTGTTCATGCTCATGTCAAAAGACATCATTGCTTCTAGTTTTCTTTTTGTTTTCCAAGTCAAAGTAACCATAGAATCATTTTCCTTTGGGTTTTTCCCTTTCCATAACAATTTCTAGGTTTCAAACATTGCCTATAAGACTATAAGTGTTTTTTCTTGTTTCTTCTTCTTACAAATAACCATATGGATTTCACTTCAATGCAGGTGCAGAAACATATCCCAATACTTCACTTGGGTGGGTTAATGTGAAAGATGTTGCCAATGCACATATTCTAGCACTTGAGAATCCTTCAGCTGAAGGAAGGTATTGTTTGGTTGACAGAGTTGCACACTACTCCGAGCTTGTGAAGATATTGCATGAACTTTATCCAACTCTTAGACTTCCGGAAAAGTAAGTTCCTTACAAGGCTAAGAATCTCATTACTTCTGAAGTTGTTTGGTTTTTGGATATTCTTATCAATAGTTAGACTCTACCACTTTGACAAAATCGTAAAACGCTGCGGATTTTTTGGAATGCTTTAAAGTACCTGTCACGCTAAACTAAATGAGTTCAAACTTAAGAACTATAGGAAGTCAGCACCAAACTCAGGTAGGTACAAATAAACAAAATTACATCAACCTGTCATCCCTACATTAGGAGTAAGCAAAAAGTTAAAAGTTTGTCTTCTGTGGTGTGTATATTGAACTTTTTGCTATGATGTTGAAATGCTCAAACATTTCACATAAATTATGGTAGTGCATTATTTATTTTAAAACTAGGTAGATTAAAGGTCTGTTGCTTAGGCGCTTTTGGTGTGCGTTGTGATTCCTGCATCTTTCGTTTTACCAACTTGCAGGTGTGCGGACAACAAGCCATTTGTGCCAATTTACCAGGTGTCGAAAGAAAGAGCCAAAAGCTTGGGTGTTGTATTTACTCCCCTGGAAGAAAGTCTCAGGGAAACTGTCCAAAGTTTGAAGGAGAAGGGATTTCTCGGAACGTCTGTGGCTCTGTGATGAGAAATGTTTTCCGTTCTGCTTAATTTCTTTTTGTGTTATTGTGACTCTTTTTTTTGTAATTTTTGAGAGAATGATGTTTTAGTGTGGTAAGAGTACTTGGTTTGCTTTTTATGATATACGGAGTATGTGTTAAGAGAATGATGTCTTGGTGTGGTAAGAATGCTGTTATAATTGTTCTTTGTTAAAAACAGAATTGAGTTTAAATTCTGTCATTAGGGTTGTTCACCACCCTATTGTCACAAATTGAATAATGTTTGGACTGCTATATAATATGCAGATGTTCATAATTAGGCTACGGCCTATTATAATATGTAGTCTTAATTAGGACCGGTTCTGAAAATTTCAAGGCCCTGTACAATTAAAAAAATTGGACCTTCCATTCCGATACAAGTAGAAATAGAACATAAATAAGGATGATTATAGTGAGAAAGTACTGATAATTTATTTTAAAATACAAGTTACTTATGAATAAAATAGTAAAAATAAAAGTATTCAATAATAAAATATATTTCATTTAAAAAGGGACATTCTTTGGACACATAATGACTTCCAAGTTGCTAGAATTCCTCCACTAATCATGTAAAATTAAGGCTTGTTGTCTAGAGAAAATCAGCAATAATAGACCGTCCGCTCCATAAAGAATGTAATTTAATAGACTAGTAAGTAATAACATATTATACCAACTTGCAAAATATAATTAAAAATTAGTTTAAATGTTTAATTACTTGGTCACTTGGCTAGAGAAAATAGAAACAACAACGTAAACTGTGAAATTTCATAAAAAATTAGTAGACGTAATGGAGTAATAGCCCTAATAATTGTAAATAATTAGAATCAGCAATAAAATCACAATATATCATATAATAATAATAATAGTAATAATAATAATCAAGAAGATTAATAAACAATAATCTTAACAAGTTAAGAAAGTCAATCCTTATAATTTAAAGATTGACGAATTGTGGCATGGTGAGCGACTGAGCTACTAAGGCGAAGGAGCGGACTGGAGGCATCGAGATGTGGTGCAGTCACAGCCCTAAACGGTGGTCAGCATTCCTTGTTGGTCGTCCGTCTCTATTTCTTCCTTGCAAAGAGCTGAGAGAGTGAGAGGGCAAAACATGGGAGCACTCCATGGTGAGCATGGTGCTACCATAGCCAAAACACACGTGAATAGTTACACGCATGAATAAAAACTTTTTTTGTGTTTTTATTCTTGTCCCAATAGCAAAGTGATGTAACTCGCGTGTAGCGAAATGTAATTCACGTTAATAATATATGTAACTGCAGGCTAGTCCAAATGTAACTTGTCTAATACAGAGTATAAGAAATAAAATATTGATTTCAATGTAAACAATGAAAACAAGAAGACTAATTGCTCAATTATTTTACGTAAACAGTGAATATGTTCCGTTTTTAATATTAAATCCATGAAAAGTTCTTTTTTTTTTAAAAATCCTTTTTTGCCAAGAACCCATTTTGTTTTGCCAAAAAAATCTCTTTTTTTCCAAAAAAACATTTTTTGGCCAAAAAATATCATTTTCTTTTCAAAATAAATGATTTTTTGTTTCAACAACAGAATTTTATTTTGTGATGTAACTCGTGTTATGGAAAATCTAAACCACATTGATGGAAAATCTAACTTAAGTGTGCAAATATAATTTGTTGAATGAGAGAAGTCCAAATGTAACTCGCACATATGAAGATGTAATTCATACATAAAAAATGCAACTCACGCATAAGAAGATGTAAATTTCTATACTATCAAATGTAAAAAAGAAGTCGAATTGCTCAATTAATTTATGTAAATAGTGAACATGTTTTGTTTTTAATATTAAGGCCATTTAATGTTTTAAAGAAAATTAATTTTTTTGCAATTTTTTTTTTTTGTTTCAGTAGCATGAGTTTAGTTTGTGATATAACTCGTGTTATGGAATATGCAACTCATGTTGATGGAAAATCAAACTTAGTTTTATGCAAAATGTAACTTGTTGAGTCAAGTGCTAATGTAACTCGCGTATAGGAAAATATAACTCACATAAAAAAAAATATAACTCGCACACAAGAAGATGTAACTTCATATGCTATCAAATGTGACTCCAGAAATTGTTATAAACATAACTCACACATGTAGAAATGTAAAACACACATACGAAGATGTAATCTCATATTTTATCAAATGTAAATCGAATTGAACGAATTTAATGTCTTAAAAACACTAAAAACATGTAAAAGAGATAAGAAATATGATAGTATATTATAGGAAAAGTGCATGAATATGAAAAAATATTTTATAAAAAAAGTGTAAAATATAAGAAAAAATTACAAAAAAGTGTATGAAACAAAAAATATTACATTATTACATAAATAAAAATAGTGTACGAATGTGAAATGTAATATACGTTTTTATTTAGATTTATAGTTTTTTGTGATGAATATATAAAGAATAAGAAAATAGATTGATTTGTAATTTAAGTTGCAGATAAATAAAAGAAAAATTGTAATTACATTTTAGTATTTGATGGAGAAGAAAAAAGAAGCAAAGAGAAAAAAATACGTACGTGCAGGGAAACAAAATAAAGGAGTAGTGCGATCGTCACACCATGCGCATGGTGTGTCAGTTCCACGGTATAATTTGCGCCTTTTAAATGTTTTCTTACTGGCCTGGTAAGCTTCTTCTTTCAATACAATTTAAATAATTAAATGGTATACGCCTTAAAATTCAGAACATTAATAGTTTTCCATTTTAAGTATGTATATTTTGTAGTTTCTGTAATATTAAGATTATACTCTATTTAGAGCCATCTCAAAATAAACCATTAATTAAGTTTAATTACTAATATAGACTTGCAATAATATTTAGTCATTGTTGTTCATTTGTTCATTACAGACTTACAGTAATTAAGTAAATGCATGTGGAATCTAACCAATTTTCAGTTTACATATAATAATATAATGTGTTAATATAACAAGAGTGCATGCATGATGCTGATTGATGCATGTGTTTTATCGAATTGCAATGCGTTAAAATAGTATACACGTTTTTTACACTTCTATTGATGCAATACAAATAGATTTACTTAGCTTCTTATACACTTTGAACACAGGGATAGATTTAGGGGGGACCGCCTCCTTGGACTTTCAATTTTTTCTACTATATATATACTATCTCATAAAATTTTAATACTTTAATTAGATATATATGTATTCGCCTCCCTTAATTTATAATTTTCAAAATTAATATATAGCAGTACATAGTGGAAAACTTAATTTTAGATTTAAAAGAAGTAAAATCTAAAATCATTTACATAAAAGGGAAAATGGAAACTAATAATCCAACTTTTTAGCGGTCTTCTTACAATAGTCTCACCTTTTCATTATTCATGAATAATCTAACATTTGCACCTCATCTTCATTCACTGGTCCCTGATCTCACCTTTCACAAAGATAATATTTTGCAAAGATAAGAAAATAACTTGAAGTAGCAGGTCATTAACCGGTCAGGGACCAATGAATGAAGATGGGGCACATGCAAAGGTTGAATTATTCTTGAATAACGAAAGAGTGAGACTATTGTAAGAACATTGCTAAAAGGTTAGATTATTAGTTTCCATTTCACGTGATTAAACATGATAGAAGTTGCTTAAGAAGCATTGCGTGATGTGTACCTTTTAAACTTTTTACTTTCGAATAATTTCATAAAATATTATATATCCTATAATATTCTTTGATTTTCCATTTCTTACGATTTAGTATCAATACTTTTTCCAAGAGTATTTACAGTTACAAAATCAAAGTTATTTTTTTCATTATCTAAACTTAGAATATAATATATTTAAATGCCATCGTGGATGTACTAATGGAATTTTTTAAATAAAATTAGCGGCAAAACTCTCCACTAATGAAAAATTTCGTCCCGATACACTAGCATAATTAATAATTCACACCACTACATTAGCGGAAAAAATTCGCCCCGGTACGCTAGCTAAAAACTATTCACCCTTTACATTAACAAAAAAAAATTCGCCCCCCTTGAACCGAAATCCTGGATCCATCCATGTTTGAACATGTAGATAAGGGCACTTTTTAGTGTTCTGCATTCTAACCAATACATTTTGCCCTTTTGGTTTAAGTTCAAACATATTTCATTACAAATTTAAAGTAGTTGCAATCTTAATATCCTTATTATAGTTTTAAATTAAACGAATTTACAAATGAATACCAAAAATGTTATTTTAATTTAGTAAAATAAACATATAATGTGGAATAGAACTATTAAGATGCACATATTAGATACTTTTATTTCAGAATCTTACGAAGCTAGCACATTTTATTCTGTCAATGCAATGATGCTAAATAAAATATATCTAGTCGTGATCACAAATTTAGGCCATCCATTTGTGAATGAAAAGTGATGCAGTGACTCAAATGGTATAAAATTAAGATATCATGTGATGTTCTAGTATATATTGCACAGAAGTAGTATTGAATAACCTAAATGTAAGTACATATATAACATGTGAAGAAACAACCTTTAAATCAAAAGAACATAAAGCGCTTAAAATGTGAACTATGGAGCATTTGTTTTGGCAATTTGTATAACAAATCCTACGATGGCGTCCTATATAACTCTATAAGAGTACATGTCAATTAATTAATTATGCCTAGAAAAGTACAGAATAAGAAGTGATTAATCTGAAGAGCCCTTAAACAAAGTAAAAAATTGTCGCTTAAAGCTTAGCTGATTTATAATTCAATCATATATTTTGATATTCATATTTCATTCATTAGATGTTATTTTGTGAATGATACTTTAAACAGTTAAGATGATATATCAAAAAATTTCGCCCCATTTAAAGTTGAGATGGTATAACAGTTTAACCAAATGAATAATTAACTTAGATGAAACATTATCATTAGAAAATCTCATTTGAAGAGGATTTCATTAGAAGTCTTTCTAATACTATATAGAAAGAATGAATGACTAAAATAAGACCAAGAACTTTTTTGCAGACAAAAAAATGAGATTTGATTTTAACATGGGTAAAAAAGAGACTAAACAAATCTGAAAAGACAAGATTACCTCTTATATAAATAAAAAAAGACAAAAAATAAAACCCTAATTCTACCTTCACTCTTCAGTTGCCCCGCTTTCCTCCTCGCCTGGATTGATGATCGATCCTTCCCGGCCTCTAAAGGACCGGGATGGTAATGCCAAGTGTCTGAGAGGGTGAGTCAACAGGAAGGGAGCGGGACTGTTGATATTGACAGGTCATCAGGGTGATGGTTTAATTTAACGGGGGAAATAGGTCACTGGACCGACAAATCAGGGGCGGATCCAGGACATTGGGCCAGACTGGGCCGGTACAAAGAATTTGTTTAGAAAAAATTTCAAACGAAATTTTTTACCTGAAAATTTAAGCCATTTTTAAAATTTGGGGTGGGCCAGGGCCTAGATTGGCCCACCCCTAGCTCCGCCCATGCCGACAATGCCATATTGCCATGTGTCTGAGAGGGTGGGTCAACAGGGAGGGAGCATGACTATCGATGACGAGCATGACTATTGATGACATTCTCATTACGGGTAGTTCTTCTTCCCTAGTTACGTTTATTATTCAGTTACTTTCTCAGACTTTTGCCATGAAAGATCTGGGAGACATTCATTTTTTCCTAGGGATTCAGACTATCCGTACCTCTACCGGTATTTTCTCTCACAACAGAAATATATTTCGGATCTTTTGAGGCATTTTCACCTCCATACAGTAGTTACACCAGTTCGCACACCTCTTCCCTCTCGTACCACTTTATCATTAACTGATGGGGAACTACTTGCTGATGGTACTGAATATCACAGTATGGTTGGTGTTTTACAGTACTTGATTATTACTAGACCGGATATTACTTATGCTGTTCACTTGGTGATATGCACTAATTAGTAGTGCATAAATGTATGTTTTTATGTTTGATTTGTGTAGATTGTTTACCATTTTATTTAGTTTGTAAACATTTGTATGATTTTAGTTGTAATTGTATTTTAATCTTCATTTGTAAGTTGTAAAATAGAGTTAGGAATTATAGTGTTGGAAAGGAGGACTTTGAAGTGAAGAAAAAGGAGATTTGACTGCCCAGTAGCTAAAACCTGACTGGGTATAACTCTTTACCCGGTCGGGTAAGAAGTGAAAACCGAACTAGCAAAGAAACTACATGGCCCGGTCGGGCCCACTACCTCACCCGGTCGGGTGAGACTTGATCAGGGACAATCCGACGTGCTGAAAACACAAAATCGTGGGCAAATATCTGATTTTGACATTTACCCGGTCGGGTGTCTGCCACAGGGTGTTGAAAACACCTATAAATAGCACACTTTTCCTTCACTTTTAATCACTCCTTCTTCCATACTCTTAAGCTCAGTTTAGAATAGTATTTCTTTTATATTTTTATAGCATGTTTAGTCTCCAAATGAGGAGCTAAACTTCCATTTCTTGGTGTTGCTCTTGTAGCTTGTTGATTATTAAAGTTGTGAGTTATTTTCTTAACTTCTTCCCTTGAATATTAATTCTTCCCTTAACCTATATCTATATTAATGTTGGGGAGTGTTGCTAAGATGACAATTAGTTAACATCTCGACATTAATTACTACTAGAAACGATCAACGAACCGATGGTTAATCGTTGATGGTTTCACAAGTAAGTAACTTCGGTTTATTAATGCACGGTCGTGGTTGATAAACTTCAGAGGGATTAATTTTGTTGGTTAAACCAAAACCGTTGTGTTGAGGTTATCAATCTGAATTGATTTCATCAAGGAGTTAAGAGATCAAATGGTACTATTAAATCGGTATACGACGTTGTTCTATATTTGATTAATAGTAAGGGTTATTAATGAACGATTGTTGTAAATAACTTCCCTCGATGAATTGGATATACTCTTCGATTGAGTATTCGAGAGGGGATATGTTATAGATATAACAATGGACTAAAATATATCAACAAGTGGAAAATAGCAAGACCAAGTTCTTTTTATTCTTGAATTAAATCTCATATAAGTCGTTCATCTTCGTATTTAATTTTATTTTGACGCACCGTGACAAAGTGCTCGTCACTTGGTCTCTCAGTTTATGCATGCTCCTCACACTACTCATATTTTAGCTGTGAAGCGTATTTACAGGTATTTGCACGGTACTGTTACCGAAGACTTATGGTTGCGCAAGGGCGGTGATCCATCTCTTGTTGTTGCTTACTCCGATGCAGATTGGGCTGTTTGTCCTGATAGCTGTCGCTTCACCACTGGGTATGCCATATTCTTGGGCAACAATTTAATTTCTTGGCGGTCCAAAAAGCAACCTACTGTCTCCAAATCTTCCACCGAGACCGAATATCGAGCGGTAGCTTATACTGTTCAGGACACCTTGTTTATTCGATCATTACTTGTGGACATGGGCTTCTTTATTTCTAAACATGTTCAGCTCTACTGTGACAATGTTTCAGCCTCCTACCTTGCGGTCAATCCTATTCAGCACGATCGGAGCAAGCACATAAAGATTTATTATCATTTTGTTCGTGAGCATGTGGCTCATGGAGATTTAGTTGTTAAATATATCTCTACTCAATTTCAGTTAGCAGATATTTTTACTAAAAACTTGTCTAGCCAGCGTTTTAATTTTCTTAAATCCAATCTGCGTGTGATTCCCTCTGCACAGATTGATGGGGTGTAATAGATAATAGTGTAGGGATATTCTTGTAATTATTTCATATTGGATTATTATATACAGAAACATACAGCTACCTCTAGGGTAAGCCGTTCCCTCATAATTCTCATAAGAGTATCTTATGAAGAATGCAATAGCAATGTTGGCCATGGAGACAAATGTCACATCAGAAGAAGTTTAAATGAAAGATACAAACAATGATAAAAAAAGTTTGGATGTGATGATGATGGTGAGGTCAAGGATTGGCAAAGTTTTTGTAGCAGGTGATGCTACTAATCTCGTACTCATTGCTTTGCTGGGGTGGTTCCTCTACATAACATGACGAAATGACGAGCACACGCAATTTGCCGCGTCCATACTCGAAGAAAGACAAGTTGCAACGTTGATGGAGCTTGAAAGTATTTTGGACCTGCTGCAAAATCGTTTCTGTCCCTGCCATAAAATACTCTTCTTGTGTACCATAATAGATTTGCACGCGGCCCCACGTATCCCGACAGCCCCTTATGAAATCCTCACAATTTTCCTGTCTTGAATAATGATAGTTAAATTGGGTAGAAAGAAATCTGATTCAATTAGCAAATTAAAGAATCATAAAATACTTAACATATTTTTTGTTTCTCATGTGTCATGACCTATAGTCGAGGGTTGGACCGGCTGGTCGTAAGAGATCCTTCTAGTAAGAGCAAGATAGACAATAGACTAAGAAATGAGTTTCAAATGTTATGGGCATATCTTATCTTCAAATTTTAAACGATTTATAAGAACTTTTATATCCTTCTAATTACTTGTCTGTATGTTATTTCTTCATTGAGCTTTTACCGATATACTATGTTTCTATGCAACCATATGATCATCAACTAGAAACAATGAACAATTCCACAAGAAGAATATTCCATAATACACACACATACACACACACATATACATATATAGAGGGTTATTCCTCTTCATCCGACCTGACACAAAGTGCCGTTTAGACGAGGCCATTTGGGAAGCTTCCCAGTAGAAGTTTTTTATGAAAGTTTTGAATTATGTTATTCATAAAGTCTAGTTTATCCATATCAAATTTCAGCTTAAAATTCAATTGGAAAGGCAGTTAAGTAAATTCTTGAAACATACTGCGCTTTATATATATGTACATAACAGACAGTATGTTTCAAGAATTTATTTAAATGCCTTCCCGATTGAAATTGGAGCTGAAATTTGGCATGCATAAACTAGATTTGATGAAGAACATGCTCAAACAATTTCATAAAAAACTTCCAGAGGGAAGGGCCTCAAACGGGCAAGTCCGCACAACATTCCCTGTCAAGCGCGCTTGACAGGATCATTCCCCTCTTTCTCTCTCTCTCTCTCTGTATGTGTATGTATGTATGTATGTATGTATGTATGTATGTATGTATGTATGTATGTATGTATGTATGTATGTATGTATGTATGTATGTATGTATGTATGTATGTATGTATGTATGTATGTATGTATGTATGTATGTATGTATGTATGTATGTATGTATGTATGTATGTATGTATGTATGTATGTATATATATATATATAATTAGATTCAAGTGAGAAAATGATCTTAGGAGAGAAATGAGAATGAATCTGGACCGTTACATTGTAATTTGTGAAATTGAATGTGTATTAGATGAAACTGAAATGTGCATTAGATAAAGTCAAAATGTGCAGCACAAAAGGGAAGGCATACTGTCATTATGTGAAGGTGAATTGTGTATTAGGTTAAACTGAAATGTGCATTATGTGAAACAAAAATGTGCACAATAAAAGTTATGATGTGAGGGCACTTTTGTGCCTTTTATTCTGCACATTTCAATTTCCTGTAATGCACATTTGAGTTGTACTTTTATTCTGCACATTTCATTTTCATCTAATGCACATTTTAGTTTCATCAAATGCATAATTCAACTTCACACAATCCAATCCAACAGTCCAGATTCATTCTCATTTCTCTCCTGGGAGTCCTTTCTCACCAGAACCCTCCCCTATGTGTGTGTGTATGTAGGGAGCGGTTCCGGTGAGAAAGGACTCCCAGGAGAGAACTGAGAATATATCTAGAGCATTGGATTTAATATATTCGAAACTGAATTGTGCATTAGATGAAATTGAAATGTGCAAAATAAAAGGTACAAAAATGGCATCACAGCGTACCTTTTGTTTTGCAAATTTCAGTTTCACAGAATGCACAATTCAACTTCACATAATGTCACTTCATTGTACTCTTTATGTTGTTCATTTCAATTTCACCTAATGCACATTTCATTCTCATTTCTCTCCTAAGATCATTTTCTTATGTGAACCTAATTGTAAGTGTGTGTGTGTGTGTGTAATTCGGTTCAATATCTAAGGAGAGAAACGAAAATGATTCCAGAGAACTTTTAATCAAAATCTTTGATTTTATTCAATCATTGGTAGGATGCGTGTGGGGTCCTTTGTGTATTTCTTTCAAAATTCAATCGGGGTGCTTTTTGTAATTATTATAAAATTATTACAAAAATGCCACCTGAGTGACAAAAATGCCACCTGTAAATGAGTTCTCAATTTATCAGGGGTTCTCACTAGAACCTTCCCCTATATTTTAAAGAGACAAATTTTGAAGTTCCCACGTAGGTTGATGAAGAAACCATAGACGAGGAGATACTTTGCGACACCGACCTTAATTACCCTTCCATATATGGATGACCTCTCACCTAAAGCGTCCTTGAAAGATAGCCTTGATGAAGATGTTGATCCTACACGAGCCCAACCACCCGTTGGAGTAGTTGATGAAACTTGTGGTGTTGAGGAAACATTGCCTGATGTGCACTAATTAGTAATGCATAAATGTTTTTTATGTTTGATTTGTGTGGATTGCTTACTTTTATTAATTAGTTTGTAAACACTTGTGTGATTTTGATTGTAATTGTATTTTAGCTTTCATTTGTAAGTTGTAAAGTAGTAGTAGCTAGAGTTGATGACTTGATGGTGTTGGAAAATGTGGAAAAGTTGAAGATATTCTGCCCAGGAGCATTACCCGGTCGGGTAGGCACTCTCACCCGGTCGGGTATGACAAGAAAACCGAAGCTGCTTGGAATTTGCACACTTACCCGGTCAGGTAAGGTACTTTACTCGATCGGGTAGTATGATGTGACTCGGACCAACGAAGGTGCTGATAACATAAGAACATGGCGAATCGATCCGATTTTGATTGATACCCGGTCAGGTATGCGCTATACCCGGTCGCGTACTGGCCAAAGGTGTTGAAAACACCTATAACTAGCACATTTTTCCTTCACTAAAATTCATTCCTATTTCCATACTCTTAAGCTCAGTTTAGAATAGTTATTTCTTTATATTTTTATAGCGTGTTTAGTCTTCAAATGGGGAGCTAAACTTCCATTCTTGGTTTTTCTCTTGAAGCTTGTTGAATGTTAAAGTTGTGAGTTATTTTCTTAACTTTTTCTCTTGAATATTGATATTCATGTAATTTCCAATTGTATGTTTGTATTTTTAACTAGTTTTTATTAGTTCTAGTTGTGGAAATTACACACTTTTGGTGTAATACTTTATTTTCATTTTTATTTGTAATTTAGTTAGATTAGGATTTTTCTGAGCTAAACAGGTCAAAGATCATCTAAGGGATCAAGATTGGACCTTAAAAGATCAAGGAAAGTGCAAGGAGACAAGAAAGATTTCGATTTGGAAAAAATACTCATGTACCCGGTCGGGTATTGCCTATACCCGATCGGGTAATTGCTTGATTCGACTGTCCAAATCAAATCCGAAGACAAATGATCGTGGGAGCAAATTTTCAAAAAGATTTGTCACATACCCGATCGGGTATATACCCTTACCCGATCGGGTATGCCCAGAAAAGTGACTTTTTGGGCAATTTCCTGAGATACCCGGTCGGGTATCCTATATACCCGGTCGGGTATCAGACCCTGCAGCTCCCAAAAGCCTATAAATACACCCCTTTCCTTCACAATAAAATCACCAATTCACATATACTCTTTAGCTCAGTTTAGATTAGTGTTTTCTTTATATTTTCCATCATGTTTAGTCTCCAAATGAGGAGCTAAACTCTTCCATCTTGGTTTTGCTACTTTGAAGCTTAATGAATTTGTAAGTTGTGAGTTATTCTCTTTAATCTTCTTCCTTGAATATTAATTCTTCCTTTAAATACTATTTCTATATCAATGTTGGGGAGTGTTACTAAGATGACAATTAGTTAACATCTTGACATTAGTTATATTAATAGCTATTTCTTCCTCTATGTTAATATTGGGGAGTGTTACTAAGATGACAATTAGTTAACATCTTGATATTAACTATAGTAGGATTCATCTTCTTTAATATTCTTCCTTGAGTATTAATTAATTCCTATTCATATTTCATATTAATATTTTGAACATTACTTAAAGGATCAACTAGTTTTGTTTCATATATTAATTATTACTAGAATCGGTCGATTAATACGCTTGTTATTAATTCGGTCCTTTTACGGTAGTAAACTTGGGTTATTAATGCATGCGTTTCATGGTTAATAAACCAAGGGGAATTAATTATATTGATTAAACCAATAAACCGCTTGTGTTGAGGTTATCAATCTCAATCGTTTTCATCTTGATTTTATTGCTACTATCGAGTGAATATACGGCGCATGTTCTATATTAACTCGATAGTAAGTTTTATTAATGAACGCGTCTCGTTATTAATAACTACCCTCGATGAATTGGATATACTCCTCGATTGAGTATTCGAGAGGAAGATAGTTAAAGATATAACCGGGATCGACGAACATTTCATTAAGTGGATAAAAGCAAAACCAAGTCTCCTTCTCATTAATTAAACCACATAACTCGTTCATCTTCGAGTTAAAAAGATAATTTAAGTTCATCAACCAAACATAAACCCCCCCCGCTATTACTTATTTATTTCTATAAAAAGAGAAGTGTTCCTTTCCCTGTGGATACGAACCTTACTTCACTATACTACATATAAGTGTTGTATTGTATTATTATTTTGAGTGCACCTCACGACAAGTGCACGTCAAATTTGGCGCCGTTGCCGGGGAAAGGCAATTATTTTTCTTTTTATTTTTTTTAAAAAAAAAATCAAAAAAAAAAACTTAAACAAAATATAAAGAGTTCTTACTTTTTCTATTTCTGAGCTTACATGAGTATATGGTAAAAACCCGTTCTATAAACGAACTTACTTACCAAACAAACCCCGAAATAGAACAAGCCTTCGAGAGGTTGAGAAATTTATTTCCGCACACACCCTCGGAGGAATCCTCAAATACTAGCTCTAGCTCTAGCGAATCCGAAGAGTCATTCCACATGGCTCTCGAGACAAGGACCTTAAGGGAGCTCACCGCTCCTAATCTAAATCAACAACCATTGTGTATTACCTTCCCCACTCTTGATGAAGGTAATACATTTGAGCTAAAATCTGGGCTCATCCATCTGCTACCATCTTTCCATGGTCTAAGAGGCAAAGATCCGAACAAACACTTGTCGGAGTT